GGCTAAGTTTGTCTGTTTGTGTGTTTGTGTGTGTATGTGTGTGTGTCTGACCGGATATTCATAACTCCTGTCCCCGTTTACCGAAAGCGTTCAAATTTGGTAGGAGTAAAGGCGGCAGGATGGGAATACTTTTAGTGGGTGGCAGGGCCGGACTCCGCCCACAAGGGGCGGGATTTGCGCGAAATAAATATTCGAGCGGAAATTCAGAACTCATGTCCCCGTGATCCTATAGCACTCAAATTTGGTAGGAGTACGGGCAGCAGGATAGGAACACTGATTGTGGGTAGCACTACAACACTCCGCCCACAACGGGCGGAGTTTGAGCGAAAATTCATAACTTTTGCCCCAGTGGACCTAAAGCGTTCAAATTTGGTAGGTGTTATGGGAACACAAGAGGAACACTAATGGTGGATGGCGGGACCAGCCTACGGCCTACGCTCACAATGAGCGGAGTTTGAGCAAAAATTGACAACTCCTGTCCCCGTGATCCTAGAGCGTTCAAATTTGGTAGGAGTTATGGGAACAGGATGGGAACACTCACTATAGGTGGCAGGACCAGAGTATTCCAATTGCACGAAAATTTCACGGAGGTACGCTTCCTTAGCCTAACTGTCCTTTTTTCTCTGAATTTGTGATATTGTACGATGTTCTTATCGGGCACAGCGAAGATGGCTTACAGAAAAAAAATCGCTCCCAATTCGGAGCTAATACTGAGTGTGCAGAGCTTTCCAGTAAAAATGAGAATCCGAAGAGTTATTAACGCATAGCAAATTTCTTACAGGAAGGAGGACCGCCCGGCGAAGCCGGGCGACACCATAAAAAGGAGGGAAGCCCGGCGTTGGCCGGGCGGCCCGACTGGTTCAAGAATAAGCACGAGCGAAAGGGCTCAGAGACTGGAGAGAACAATGACACTTGGGAGTAAAAGGATCCTGCTAATTGTGGGAAAAAAGAGGTTCAGAACCTAAGAAGATTGTTGAACAAGAAAAATATGAGCAGAGCTGGTTCCTAGGAAGCTTACTGACCCTGATCAGATTAGACGCACTCCTAGTAACGTAAAGTCCGAAATTCCCTAAAAATTCTTTATTGGATAGGGTCTTCTTTCTAGAACCGTGTCCACTTCAAAAAAGAAATATGAAAGGAGTTCAGGTTTTCTTTCTAAATCCAACCAACTACAATATACCACTATTGCAAATCCGAAGGTTGTAGCTCACAGTGCTGGAGACACATCATATAAGGTTCCACCTTGATTGAAAAGATGTTGCGCGGAAGTGAACCAGCACTGTATGAGACCCCATAGCTTCGATAGAACGGTAAAAGGGCATTTGGTGACCGGCACGTGGGTACCATGTCAGCTTGTAATCGAGGGATTTCTTCCAGAAGTGCAAACGTACTCCTGTTGAAATTTTCGTTCCCAGCGCTAGTACTGTGAATATTATTTCAATCTCATGGCAATTAAAGTTCAAGAAATTTCGCTCGCCCAGCGAGGGTACAGGGCCTCATACTAGTAGCAGGGTAGCCTACAGGACCTTCAGCCATTTGAGCTATCATTGTATCTTGTTATGTACGTTCTACGTTGATCCCCCCCTCTCCATCCTTACCTCACTATCTGAGATAAGGGTGGGAGGGGGGTGCAGACGTAAGTAAAGACGATTACCCTCACCTGCAACCCTCCACTCTGAGATTAGGGCATAAACCAGCGCTTTACATGCAAGAACATACACCATGACCAGCCAACGCACCCGTTCCTGCAGTTCCGAAGATTGATCGCTCACAGTTCTCAAAATGTGTACACTCTGCGGGGTCCTACCATAAATTTTGGACGTCCTGAACGTTCAATGTTACTCGTACACATACTCGTTGCTGTTTACAGCTTGCCCTTGACAACTGCATGTGTAACAACTTGTGGTAGGCTGACGAGGCATAAAACAAGGTATACCTCGAAACGGCTTCAAGACATCATTCCTCAGTAGTAACGCCTTTGGACACCTTACCATCCTGGTTGGAATGAGGGATTCAGCCGCCATGTGTTCTGTTCGGGCTTGAAGAACTAAACCATTACGAGAGTAATAATGCAGATCCTGTAGCCGAAAGAGTAGGAATGGCTCCTAGAGGGCCAGTAGGGGTCGCCTCCACGGCAGGAGAAGCTCAGAAATCGTAGAAAAAGAACTCACACTTCGATAAATTCTTTCAGTTTTGACAGAAATACCTACTGCTTCTGCTAGTCTGGTCCTATCTCGAAAAGGTGGTGGTTGTCTGTGTTTAAGACTAGCGAAGCCTCATTTGAATAAGTTGAGTGGTGTGATTGATGTTTGAGGACAACGAAGTTCTTTCCTCTTAAAGCCAAAATTTCCAATCCAATCATGATTTTCGAATCTTTTCACCACCATCGTCGTCCTTCTGATCGCCATGCTCTCATTGTTACATCCTCTTCCACCAATTATAATCTCATCTTAGCCGATCCTTCCAGTGATCTGCTACAGCTCATTCATGATTCGAAACAGTGGTCCATTTCAAACTGTGTTCGTGTTATAATGGAGTGTCATCAATAATTCTCATAATCAGTATAATGAAGGATGTTGGAGATGGAGGTGGCAAGCGCACCTTCCACACACACCTTCCAGTCCGGGATCGAATCTCAGATTGACTCTTGAATACGCTACAACGATTCTGATTATTTGAATGCGGGGTGCGTCCTAAAAAGGGATGGTTGGCACTGGAGGCTTCATCCCTATCCTTATACCAAAAGATGACGAAGGTGTTCATATCAATTCTCCAATCCTACCCATGGAACAAACAGCAAGAATGGGTGCTGATCGTCAACCCAAAAGGAGTTTTCAGATTTCAGAAGTCACTCTTTCCATGCAAATACATGATGAGCAACGCTTGAAGTCTGATTCCATAAGCCTTCAAGGAATACCTCTGTAAATGAACAAAATATGGCGGTGACTTATGCACTCCAAAGCTGTTAAGTGCGACTCTTTTTGGTGTAGACATGCCTCTATGACGAGCATGCTTCTAGTCGTGGCATTTGGAGATAGGACTCCTGGCTGAAGGTTCACCATTTCAGATTCATCAAAAATTATAGAAGATTTCGATATGAGGTCTACTCAGTTTGTTTTTCCTTCCTTCAAACTTTCAGTTATCCAGATTTTGGAGCTGCCCCTTGATTGCATTCTGTTAGGTCCACCTATCTGGGTTTTGCCTGTTAATTCACATCATCCGAAGGCCATTTCTTTTTAGAGTCTGCGAAGTAATAAATGAATAAACTAGGTAAAGCCTGACGATGGCCATCCAGACCGTATCTGTCACCTAAATTCAGGCGCATGGCATGAGCTGATAGTATGTATGCCGCAAGTGAAGATCTAGATTCACATCTGTAAATATTCGCGGAAGATTCATGCGAGTTGTAGTTATTTTATGGGTAACTTACTGAAATACTCTTGATCCAACTTTTTAAGCTGCCGGTGCCGGGTTCGGAAAAGAAGCTAGGCTCTCAAACATTACCTATAAGGTAGGCTTTACTGTTCCCTAGTGAACTTTACACCTAGAAAAATTACATTTTTTCACTCTGAAGCATTCAGGAAACTTTGAGGGTTCAGATCACCACAGTTTCAAATCACTTTATTGTTCCCTCGTTTCCCCGGGCTTTCCCGACGGGACAAACAAAACGTATAGTAGGAGCTTAGGAGTTATGTGCTTGCTTGTCGCCATCACGTGCAGCCAGTCGAACGCTGCTGGATGAAAGCGCCAGCGGCGTGCAGTGTATGATTGCTTTTTGTCTGATGCCTTTTGTCTTCGACGAAAGGTCAGCGGCGCCTCCCGTATCGTTCCGCTATCATTTTCGAGCTAATCACGTGAAAGGTCTGAACCTGATAGAAATAGCTGCAGCAGGCTATATTCGGCAACCCGTGGCTAATCAATCGAACCTCTATAGCTTGTTTGAAAAATGTTATATAATGGGAACAGAGAGATTTCTAGTTGATCTATGGTTTCTCTCGATGATTAATCTTTTCTTTAAATAGAATTCCGTACCAGTTCTGAAGGAATGATCTTTTTAAATGAGTTTTTACGCCTGGATGATGATCGGTCCTTGAAATGATTCGTCCAGCTAACAAACGGTTCTAAACAGAACGATGGTGCCTGAAGAAGGGGAAGGCGTACTTCTGAAGACGTGAACATTA